CCCCCTTCCCTTGTGATTGTAAGCCGCCCTGAGTCCCCTCAGGGAAAAGGGCGGCCTATAAATCTTAATAAATGTACTAAATGAAAAATGAAATGAACTAAATAAAATGAAACACCAGCTGTCTGTATCAGGGCTATAGATTAATACAGAATCTTCTTGGCCTAAGCAGTGATTATAACAATAATCTTTATTATAATCATTGGCCAATTCAAAAAGAAAGCAAATTCAAAGGCAGCACATAAAACTCAACAACAAAAATGTAGCACTTATGAAGCTGATATCGGTCAAAGTAGAGCATATTTTACGAAGAGCAAATCAAAACCACGTTCAGCCAAAAGAAAATCTCAATCAGCCAGACAGGAAACTGCAGTAAATAAATTGTATTGGTGTGACCAGAAATCTGAATAGGTGGAGAGTTATTAGCTGCAACCATGCACACTTTAAAAAAAAAAAAAGGCAGCATAGCAAAATGGGAGTTATTGTTTCAGGAATTCCTTCACCAAAGGAATGGGACACCATATAATTTTCCTCCGAAACTGCTGTTGGAAGGGTATTATTATTATTTTGTGCTAAAAAAGATCATCCTTTATAGATTCTTAACTAGAGATGGGAAGGCCTGGAAAAATGTGGAAAATTGGAGGGGGGGGGGAATAGGTTTTTTTCCAAACAGCTTTGAAAAAAACAGCAACCCAAAAATGATTTTCCCCTCTAATTTTTCCATTTTTTTCCCCGAGGCCTTCCCGTCTCTATATCTTGGTTGTATTACACTAACTACTTTTGATTAACTTTACACTCAATCCAGTCTGGCATTTGCTGTTTGGACTCGTTCAAGTATAAAGCCGGAGACCACGGAACAGGATGGTTAGTACTTACAGAGATATATGCAGCAGAGCAACCTCAGACAGGCTGTGAGAAGGGAGCTTGACATTTGCAAGACCAGAGGCTGCTTTCACATACCTGTTTCAGCTTTTCATCTGTGAGGCAGTTCAGTTCGATAATGAATTCATTGTCTGTGGGTGAAATCTGAGCCGTTGGATCAATAATTTTGATAATATCAAGCTGCTCCCGAAGACCCATTTCCATACTGACTTTCCGACTCAGATACTCAATATATTCCACCTGGAAACAAAACCAACAAATATTTAACATTATATAATGTTGCCAAAAGGCATCGCTTACAGAAGCCAAATGGCTGCTTGGCAACTGGCATGTATTTATGATGGCTGCAGTATCGTGTGAACGCCTTTTGAAACCTTTCCATCTGGCTTCCGACAAGCAAAGCCAATGGCAGAAGAAAGATTCGTTTAACGACTGCCTGATTTGCTTAAGAAATGCAACGAGTCTGGTGTGACTGACTTAACAACTGCCTTGCTTCACAACAAAAATTCTAGTCCCAAATGTGGTCATAGGTCAAGGACTACCTGCATTCCTTCAGATTCCTTCAAGGTCCTACTTACCATTCATAAAGCGCTCCATGGTAGTGGATCTGGCTATTTGAGAGACCGCCTTCTGCCAATTACCTCCCTTCGTCCCANTTAAAAATTAATATATCAAAGATAAAAGTAAAGATTCCCATCACATACATGTGCTAGTCGTTCCCGACTCTAGGGAGCAGTGCTCATCTCCGTTTAAAAGCTGAAGAGCCAGCGCTGTCTGAAGATGTCTCCGTGGTCATGTGGCTGGCATGATTAAACGCTGAAGGCACACGAGACGCTAACCCTAACCTTCGCGCCAAAGGTGGTCCCTATTTTTCTACTTGCATTTTTACATGCTTTCAAACTGCTACTTAGCAGAAGCTGGGACGAGTAACGGGAGCTCATTCCGTTACGTGGCACTAGGGATTCAAACCGCCAAACTGCCGACCTTTCTAATAGACAAGCTCAGCGTCTGAGCCACTGAGCCACCGCAACAATTGATCAAATAATCATTTGAAGGACTTAAGAGGAAAGGCAAGATATAGATTGAACAGATAACCAACAACAGAACTGGAAACTTGTAGGTCTTCCAGTCCAACCCATTGCACAAGTAGGAGGACCCCATACCATTTCTGGAGGAATGGCTGTCCAATTTTTTCTTGAAAACATCTAGTGATGGAGCACCCAAACACTGGTTAATTGTTCTCACTGTCAGGGAATTCCTCCTTAGTTCTAGGTTGCTTCTCTCCTTGGTTAGTTTCAATCCGTTATCTGCCTTCTGGTCCTTTGGAAATATAAGTGGATCTCCTAAATAATTCTTTTGTGCTTAGCTTGTAAAAATATTACTCGTTGAAAGAAGTTGTCTGCTGCTTTGGGGTGTTTGCAAAAGCAGGTAAGTATGAAAACGCTGCTCCCTCTTGTGGGAGCGATGAACAGCTTCAAGCAAAGTAATCTGGGAGAGATTTACTACTGTAGTCATTCTGCCCAACAACTCTGGATTAGCCGGGCTTTTATACTCTATCCGAGCAACCCTATTAACAAGGGTGAACAAGGGTGGACAAGGAGATAAGAATTTTAATGTCCGAGATCAGAAAGGCAAGATGCTGCCGCAGCATTCTTAACAGAGGTAAGGGCAAAATCTCCAGATGAGATGGGACTTCACAGACTGTCTCCCAGTGTCCAAGTGAAGGTTACTCCCTTCGCACATGGCTTCGAACCTTATCCTCCAAAGGATTAATAAAATGGCTTCAGCCAGGTAAAGACTGGCCTTAAAAGAAAAGTTATTTCTTTCTGTTATATACAGAATGGCTTTTGGAGTGGTGTGATGTTCTAGAGGTGGAGCTCTTGCCTCACAATCAGAAAGCTGAGAGTTCGATCCTAGGTAGAGGCAGGTATTTCTTTCTCTGGTCACAATGAGAATGTATCTGCTGAACAACAACACTCCACATTGGCAACAGGAAGGGCATCCGGCCATTAAACACTCTGCTGGTTCCATTCAGTTGCCCAGACTCCACCCCACAAGGGATTATGAGGACGTTAAAAGATTATGATAAACCGAATGGCTTTTCTGAATGTGAATAAGGAGCTATTTTACCCTTCTTAAATGTAAATCTCCAAACTCCTAAATTTTGTAGTTATCAATTTATCTGTCTTTGGTAGAATTTGTCCACTATGCTTATGTTCTGCTGCCCTGCAGCCTCTGCTTTAGACTTCAAACTCCGTAAGATTCTATCTGGAATCAGGAATGTATATTCCTATTTTTGGCCGTTTCTAGAATTTCTCTAGGATAAAATAATTGCAAGGAATTTGATTTCTTACCATTCAGATGTGGAACCATGCACAAGCTATTGTGTGGGAAACCTAGAGTAGGTTTAACTTAAAAGAGAAGGGAAGAAAGAGGCCAAAAAACATGAGCGTGATGTTTCATATCCCCCAAATATTGGGTAAAATTCCCAGCTACACCTTTCCAGATACAACATGGCACATGCTATTTTGCATCAGTGTATCTTGTCTTTAATGTCAACCAAGACGATTATTTTTAAATACAATTCAGAGCTAAAGAGGGGGAGAAAACAAATCACGATGTTCAGTATTTTATACTTCGCAGTTAAATTTTTCATAACATCAAGAACGAAAAAGGAATCGATTCTACAAACACTGCAGTTAAGTAGATACAGAATGTACAATGAAAAATTGTATATACAAGTCCGTTTCAATATACATTGTGGCAGAAAATTAGGAAACAGTTCAGAGATAGACAGACAGACAGATAGCTCTCCATCTGAAGCATCCTCGCCAAAGTTTAAAAACGCTCTCTTTACTTTGGTTATGAAGCTCACATTTCTTTTCATCCATTTTACACACTATTGTCTCTCAACCAGGTTATAAACAGCACGTTTGAGGCCACAAGCGCTGCTCTCTGCCTTCACAAGTAAGACGCTCGTGATCTCGACCTGATTTACTAACAAACGCTTTTGAATGGATTGACCAAATCACCATATAAACCACCCCAATTTCCCTCAAGAGCAACCTCAGAAACACTGACCTCCGATTCCCTCCAGCAACTGCATCCTAAAAACCAATGTACCAAAAGAACAGAGAATGCCATGACAAAGACTGTGGTCTGTTGGATCACCAAAAATGGGTTACTAACCTTCCAAAGGATCGACAAGTTAACTATTGCTGAAGTGAGCCAGAGGGATGAGGTGGGGATAGTTCAAGTGGAGATAAGGGCACAAACCTATGAGTGTTTCTTTTAGAATTAAGACATTTGGCTAACGTTCCAGAAGATTCTCTACAGCTATGATACAGGATCCTTGAAAAGGACTTTACAGTCGTGTATATATACAATTTGATGTAGATAATCTGTCTCTAGAAACTCTTTTTGTTTCAACACCATGTAGAAAAATAAAACAAACAAAATGGAAAGGAGTAACGTCTTTACTCTAGATCAAGAAAATATCTCAGCTGTTAGGAAACTACCAAACAGCTTCTAGACAATCTTTTTTTTAATACGAACTTTTCTCCTTTGTTTAAAGTCAAATACTTGGCTTATTGGAACATTTGTAGTGGGTGAGGAAACAAGAATGCACAGACAGACACAAAATGTAAACAGGTTTTTCATAGTTACATTCAGCTAACAGAACAGCCATTTTTTTTAAAAAAAAAGAATCAGATTTTCAGTGCTCCTTCTAAGTTTTGCAATAGAAGTGGATTACTTGTTCTCTCAATTGCTTAAGTTATTTTATTAAATATTTATGCAGCTTGTAAACAGCTTACAATAAATAGAACAGGCAATGGGCTACAAAATAGCTCCTTTCTATATTCTAACATTGCTTTTCAATTTGTAAAATAAAAAAAATAAGAAAAAAACAAAAACATGTGGCTTTAGACCACAGCTTAGTCAAAATGGTCTTGAATTTTTAAAACTACTTTACCAGATGTTAACCAGGAATCAATACTGAGTCACTGTAAACAATCATTATTTTAACTGTAGACAGGTGACAAATTAGCTGGGGAGGGCAGGATTAAAGCAATTGGAAACTTTGGGGTAATTATAGAAATAAAGGGCTAGAAGATACAGAGGGGGTCACACTTCTTCAACATTTGTTACAACACTGAGTATTGGGCTACAACAACATTTTAATCCGCCTTAGTACTCACAGAGTATGATTTGGCTACAGTACTTTAGAATAATTTTCCTGTTCTTGAGCAGAGTCAATGATTATAACTAAATGTAACTATGCTCCAAAACTACAATCCGGAAGTGAAAATTAAAAATTGAAGAGGAATTTGGCTTGTAGAAATAATCTAGTGAATTTTAAACCTCTATAAATATTTGACATCTATCCAATATTGCGTACATTACCCTAATATGGATCAACTAGAATGTTGAAATACAATTTAAATAGTTCCCCTGTATAAACCACAGGGGGAGGGGGGAAAAACAGAAAAGCTTCACATTCTGTTTCAGTCATCAAAGATTACTGCTTCATGCATACCTGGAATAAATCTTTTTCTTAATTACAGATTATCTGAAAATGCTGGAATGAGTAAACTACAGGCAAACTACAGTTTTGTCTAATCACGCCTAGATTTTTAAATCAGATGAAAGAACAAAATGGTTAGTTTAAAACAGAGAAAGGTGTTTCCATCCGAAAGCAAGCAATACACAGCTTGACTCTGGAAGCATGTGCATCTAAAATCAAAGTATTAATTCCCCCTGCCCTCCCCCCCACCGCTCCCCATAGCATTTGGGACAGAGAAAAAAATACATCTCAGTTCTTCTGCACAAATAATGGAAGCTTAAATTATTTTGAGGCAACATCGTAGAACATTGCAATATTCTGCAGTTTCTTCATCTCGTGGCACTTCTTCAATATTAGCGATCAATGTTAACTAAAGGGCAGTGCAGCCCTTCAACTGAATTTGTAATGCGTGGGGGTTTTTTTCAATATAAAAAATTCTCTTTTATGTACAATGGTGGCTCGCTTTGGGGTTCTTCAAGAAAAAAAAGCAGGATGAGCTAAATTATGCTTTGAAAAACTTGGGGGCACTTTGATCTTCTTTCTTCTTGCCATTTTTGCCCCCAAACTTCCACATTAAGCAATAAGAAGAAGAAAAAAAGAAATCAAATTAATTTTAAGGCACAAGACACTATGGGGATTTGGAACAGAGGAAGAAATACATGTGTTTGGGGGGGGGGGGGAGGGAAGAAATATGTATTTGTCAATAGACATTTATTTGTTCTCCACGGCTTGATACCAAACTCCAGATCACCTATAAAATGACTGCCTTACCAAGCTCTACGTGTTGTGACTAATCCAAAATATACTTGCTTGCTTTGCAGTGGAAAACAGGGAGAAAAACACAGGTTTAAAATCACCAACTGGATCACCAGAACGGTCCTGACACACAGTTTTAAGTCACACAGCTCTGAAACCCCCACATTAAATGAAATTACAGTGGTAATTCCAGGAAACCTAAGCTATTACGTTTTAGGCTTTGATACAACTGCAGTGGCAAAGAAGAAGAAAAGTCCTGGCAAAAGCGTATTCTTGTTTTTGCAGACTATATTCCTTTAACCGTTAAGACTTACGTCGCAGGAAGACAGAAGGAAATGTTTTCCAATAAAAAAAACAACAACAACTGTTTTCTTTCCATAATTTTAACAATCAAATCCAAATTAAATTAAATTAAAACCAGCGGGTTGCTCTGAAAGCAAAATAATCCAGCCTACGTATTGTTATTTTTTTGAAGGACATCTTCCTGATTTTCCTACGATTTTGCAAAGAAGAAAAGCCGAACAACCCAAACTAGTCAAGCACAGGTTAAGTGGTGGGAGGAGGAGGAGGAGGAGGAGGA